TTATTAATAAAAGGGGCGATGTGTTATGAAATTAGAAACTTTAGGGGTGGAATGTAATTTTCAGAATCACAAGGGGGATTCGTATTTTAATCAAACCTCGGGCGGGTGTATTTGCAATTTACCCAATTTTTTATTTTCTTTTCTCATTAAGATGAGAAATCATAATCAATTCTTTTTTTTCTTCACCGGTTATACCAATTGGGTTAAGTGTTTCAACATTTATATATATTTTTGTCATTTTCTTTTGCAGTCGGAACACTTGTTACCAAAATTATTGAAAAAATATGAGGAACTAAAAAGTATTTGAATAAAAGTTGAATTTGTTAAAATGTATTAGAAAAATTAGGCTGGTCTCCAATTTAAGAATTATGAAAAATTGTGAAGAATTTTATTTCGAAAAGTAAGGTGTAATCTAGATTCAATTATTGAACAATCTACACTTGAAACAATCACAACTAAATATTGTATGTTTTGAGTGTTTCAATTAGGCAGTGGTATTGGGTTATTGTTAGTGAGAGAAATTCTTAAGTTAAATTGTTCATTTTATAAAATTTTGTTGTGTTTTGAAAAGATGGTAAAAAGTTGACTTCTTAATTTTTATATTTTTTTTTTGTATTTTTTTTGTTTTGTGTGAAAAAATAAAGAAGTAATGTGACTCAAAAAAAAAAAAGCTTAAAAAAAAAAAAAAAACTAAAAAGCCAATCTTTCCAAATTGCCCCTTTATTCGTGAAAAAATAATAGATCAATTAATACTCCTCATCAATTGCTAATGAGAGCATCTAAAATTTTTTATTTTTTTATTAAGTTTAAATTTAATAAAAAAAAGTACTAAAAAACTATCTCTAATTTATTTATCAAATTAATGGAGACATTTTTTTTTTAACAAATTGAAATTTGATTAAAATTTAGAAATATATTTTATAATAAATTCGATGAAAAGGAAAATTTAAAATGGAAATTGACCTATAAATCCCATTTAGGTGACTTGTGAACCTTCTAGTCCCAAATATATAATAATACTCTCATAAGTCCCAATCTGTGGTGAATTATGGTTCTGTCCATAAGGTATGTTGTTTAATGATGAATTAGCAAGATTGTGTATGTTGTGGCATGCCACATTGGGCAAAAATGCACTATAGTCTTTTATGGGCTGATACGTTATTTGGGTCTGCACACGTCACTCAACTCACAAACTGTGGCTATGCCATATCTACGTAAATAACGTTCCAATCCAAATCCACTTCGGGTCAAGCCCATAGTGGGACTTAAAAAATCCAGCCTGGCTAACCACACCATCGTAGTTCATGAGTGACGGCCACAAGGAGTTGAGGGGACATTGTACCCCTGTCGATGATCCAACGGTGTGCACATTCCGGGCTAGGGTGTAGCTTCAAACCACACATCCCCCCATCAGAGTTCATGTTGGTAAACATTCAGTCCGACCAGCGACAGACAAACTTGAACATCTAATTTCATTGTGATTTGAAACGTGCAAGTTTTAGGGTTTCTGTGGAACTACGTCGCCTCCGATTTGAATAGAAATTGCCGGTGTGATGAGTTGTGTGGTGACCACATAAGGAAACCACATCTTCAAATTTGTTAGTAATCTATTTCCAAATTTTGAGGGTTTTAAGTTTGGTGGATTGCGGCGTTAGCGGAGGCATATCGCAGTTTGAGAAAAAGGAAATCCCGTAAAATCCCACCAAATCAGTGTCTGTTGGGCGGTGGTCCTGTTTTTTGAAGCGTGTGTGACACATTTGGGATGGCACGACATTTACTTTCCTACCCCAATGAAACAGTTCTGCTAGTGTTGCTGTGTGAAAGTACAAACCACCACTTCCAGGAGGACGATGGGGTGCGAGCATAAGTATCCATGTCTTTATTGTTATATGTTTTGCAGCGTATTATTTGAATATGGTTTGGTGTGTGTGTTGGTAATGTACCAGTGTTTTCAGTTTGCTTAGATTATGACTGATGGGGCTGTGGGGTTTGGTGTAGTTGGTGTTGATGTTGGTTTGGTTGTAATCTGTTGGTAGGTGAGTGTTGTGTAGGATGTATGCAGTTACCGGGTGTGGGATATAGGATAGGAGTGTGCGTCATTTGGGATTAGCGCGTGTTTCGTAATTTGTATGTTAGTAGTACGTATCATCGAATGTAGTGTGTTGATGGGTGATGTTGTCAGGGGTATTGTTTGGTGTAGGTTGTGTGATAGATGGGGTTGTGGCGGGTGTGGGGCTAGCGCCCTTTGTGGTACATACTTGCCTCGTGTATGTTTTCGGGTATGCTTTCAGTCCCTTACTATGTATAGTTACATGTCTGATTTGAAATTCCATGTGAAAAGTAAGTTTAATTGTGTGAATTCCATGGTTATGGATTGATATCTGTCAATATGAAAAAAAAAATATTTGTTACAATTGTGATGTTCGGATTAGAAATTGGAAATCTTAGAAGCTTGATAATCTGAAATTGACTTTATATTTGAGATCGGTATGATTTTTAGATCCTAATGTGATTTTCTGTAAAAATCTGATTCAAGATGATTAAACTGATTAAGTTTTGTTTTATTCAACTTATATATTTATTTCTATCCTTAAATATTTTGAGTTAGGGCTAGCTATACCAAAAATATCTCCTGAGAAAAGAGAAAGAAGAGTGAAGAGAGAAGGAACAAAGAGGGAAGATCAACAAGGAAGAGGATTGAGAAATTGAGAGGGTATCTAGAGATTGAAGCTCAAGGTGAGTTTAACCCACCTAGTTCAACCCCTTTTCTTGATTTGGAGTAGGAATTCCTTGATATTGTGTAACCTAGGGTTTGTAATTGAGATCAAGTGCATCACAATTGGTTAACTTGGAACATGCTTTATCACTTGGTTGTTTTGGAACTAATTTGGTGTTATATGGAGGACCTTATCCTATTGCTTGATTTTTCATGTTGAACCCACATAGTTTTACATATATAATGTTGTATGTTAAAGAGAATTGAGTTGTGTTTATGAATTTGAGGGAGATAAGAGTTAATTGAGTTTTGATTCATGTTAAAGTAATGTTATGCTCTCATAATGTCCCAAATTCCTCCATTTTAGACCTTGTATTGCGTTGGCCTTGGTAGGATGCGTTGTATTATGGACTGCACAAAACAGAGGCAGTGACCACACGTGCGAGGCTCATGCCACACATGCGGGGAAGCACTGCCACACGTGCGGGGCTCACAGCCGCATGTGCGGAAAACAGGGGACTAGAGGCTGAGCTACTGAAATAAAAGCACGTGCAGGGCGCACGTGCGGCCATCTTCCCGCACGTGCGGCGAAGGGCCTTTGCATGTGTGGCCCATGTGCAAATACTTCGTCTGCTCTGTTTTCCTTATTTAACCCTCTGGTATAATTAAAATCTGTATTTGATGTTTTTAAGATGTTGTAAATCCATTCAAAGCGAAACGAATAAGATATTGTTTAAAAAGGAAAATGGACTAATTTCTGAACTGCGTGTGTATGCAGGGCACATACCAGAAGGAACTGTCGCTCTGCCACAGCACTGTGAGTAATAGTACTGTAGTAGTACGTTTTGCTTATTGTTAATAATTATTATTAACGCTCTATTATTCGCAAGTTAACTATGTTAATCTATACGAACGATTGGTTAATCTATGTACATCTGTATGACTCTGAGATTGTTCTGCTTTGTTAAAGATAGGCCCGAGGCCGTTCAGTTATAAGCCACCGAGTGTGGACAACTCTGAAGGAGAGGGAGGTGAGGACATGCCACTAACTCACCAACTGTGTTATGATCTGAATTAAATATATGTTATAGCCTGTGGTCGAGGGAAGTGGCGTACATGACAATGTATCACTTACCCGTTAATGTTCAGACAGCTGTTGATATATGGGCCCGAGGCCAATCTGTAAAAAATCTGTTGGGCCTGAGGCCGTTTTGTATGATACTGGGCTTGAAGTCGCTCCGTATAAAGATTGGGCCCAAGGCCGCTCTGAAAATGTTTACAAGATAAGATTAATCATATGACCTCTGCACTTATATACATTATGATTCAAGCTTATTCATTGAATTCTTTAGGTACTACTATTCACTGAGCCTTGCTAACTCCGTTGTATGTCTGTCTCTGTAGGTAATCAACCTGGAGGTCAGTCTTAGTTCAGCTTTGGTCATTTCCGTTTGGTCAAGCAGTGTGAAAAAGCTTATGCATCTTGTGGGGTTCCCTTAATGACCCATGGCTTCGTCCTTAGTCTTTTGTCTAATGTGATTAATTGTGTATAACCTTCTTTACCAATATTTTTGCTATATGCCCACGTGCGAGGATGGATCTGTATATATATATCTATATATGTATTTGTGTGTATGCAAATATCTGCTTCTTGTATATCTGTTTATCATATGTTGAATTGTTTAATGACACATTGAAATCCTGGCATATAGGTGTTAGCTCAATGGATGTTGTTTTATGTTGTTAATTGGTTCCGTTCAGGCCCCATATGTTGTACATATCGTATTTGATGTCCATTCCGAAGTGGTCATGCCCAAACTTTTAGGGGCAGGTTCGGAGTATGACAAATGGTATCAGAGCACGAGTTGGTATCTCACACACGAATCCATTGAGCCTTAGGATGTCTGCAAAAGACGTAGGCATCATGCATAATATTCTGAATGCATATGAAAAAATTGATGGCAACATTAATTGTATATGTAATATTTGCTAACTCCAATGATTACGATCCATGTCTATTGTATACCTCTTGTGTATATTGTAATTGATTGTCATGTAGAATATGGTGAGAACAAGAACGGAAGACCCGGAAGATTCTACTTCTGCACAGTTGGACAGAATGGAAAGAATGATCATGGAAATGACGGAGACTTTACGACAACAATAGCAACAGCCACAACCGCCACCGCCACCGCCACCGCCACCGCCACTGGTACCTCCACCTGTGATACAAGATTTCCATGCTGAGGACCGAACCATTACACTCACGAAGGAATTTAAAAAGATGAAACCGCCATCATTCAAGGGGGGAATAGAACCGGTGAAAGCTGAAGCATGGGTGTTGGGGATAGAAAAGTTGTTCGAAGTTTTTCCTTGTACCGAAGCCCAAAAAGTGCAATATGCTGCCTTCACGCTCGAAGACGAAGCACGGAGGTGGTGGATGCTTACGAGAACTGTACACCAAGGATTAACATGGGACAGATTTTTGGAACTATTTTATGACAAGTACTTTCCCCAAAGTATGCGAGATAAGAAGGTGACAAAATTTGAAACTCTCAGACAAGGAAACAAGACTGTTGTGGAGTATGAAGCCCAATTCGCAGAACTAGCCCGGTTTGTACCTTATATGGTGGATATGAATTATAAGAAAGCACAGAAATTTGAGGGGGGATTACGGAATACTATCCTTGACCCAGTCAATATGTTGAAGTTACCCACCTATGTTGATGTGTTGAAGAGGGCTGTTATAGCAAAGGGAAACATTGCTGCTCAGAATCGGATTTCTGAGTGGAAAGGAAAGAGGCAGAACACTCAATTATCAAGGGGTCAGCCACTCCACCAAACAAGAAACAAAATTCGGGAACCTCTAGGAAAGAAGCATCGTGGGACTTGCTACCGATTGACTGAAGCATGTTTCAGGTGTGGCAAGACGGGCCATTTGGTGAAGGACTGTCCTCAAAGGAATCAGCAAAATGGGAATAGGGCTACTACAAGCTCAACAGGGTCTAGACCAGCTCCCAACACCAAGTCAGTCGCAAAGCCTGTTAATAATAAAGACACCGCTAGGCAAGGAAGGGTGTTTGCACTGGTTCCAGGAGATGTGCAAAATGCTGCAACAGTGGTGTCAGGTACATTTATTATTCATGGTGATTCTACTCATGTATTGTTTGATTCTGGCTCTACCTATTCCGTTGTGTCAAAACTATTTGCTCAAAATTTAGATAGATCTGAGGAAACATTATCTTATATGTTATGTGTGTCTTCACCTTTGGGAGACACTATGGTTTGCACTTCTGTTTATTTTGCTTGTGAACTCCAATTTGGGAATATCCGGGTATATGCCAATTTGCTACCTCTTAATATGACTTATTTTGATATTATTCTGGGAAGGGACTGGTTGAGCGAATATTGTGCGACTATTGACTGTTTGACTAAGCAACTCAGTTTCCACCCTCCGAGACAATCAGAATTTACCTTTCAGGGACATGGAGTGACTTCTCCACCTTATTTGATTTCTGCAATAAAGGCCTGTAAATTAATTCAGAAAGGATGTCCGGGATATTTGTGCAGTGTCTTAGAGGGGCAACCAATGAATGGGAGTACTAATATGATTTCGGTCATCTATGAATTTCCAGATGTTTTTCCGGAGGAATTACCATGAGAGTTATTAGACCGTGAAATTGAGTTCACAATTGAAGTAGTGTCGGGAAATCAACCCATTTCTAAAACTCCGTATAGGATGTCACCAGTTGACATGAAAGAATTAAAGATTCAGTTACAAGATTTACTTCACAAAGGGTTCATTCGCCTGAGCGTTTCCTCTTGGGGTGCACTAGTTCTGTTTGTGAAAAAGAAAGATGGAACGCTCCGATTATGTGTAGATTATAGGGAGCTCAACAAAGTGACAATCAAAAACAAGTATCCCTTACCTAGAATTGATGATTTATTTGACCAGCTACAAGGGGCACAAGTCTTTTCAAAAATTGACTTACGGTCTGGATATCCCCAATTAAAGGTCAAAGCTGATGATGTTGAGAAAACAGATTTTCAAACCCGGTATGGGCATTACGAATTCTTAGTTATGCCCTTTGGAGTTACCAATTGTAGACGTCCCCAAACATCCCGGGAGGGAATCCCGTTTTGTTCATTGGGGCTTACTACAGTTTGGACTCAATGTCACGGTCCGGTATCTAATCTCGCAGAGTGCAATGCAAGACCGATGAATCATCAAAGAGTCCAAATTCGGCAAATCGTTTTCAAAAACTGATTTTTTAGAAAGAAGTGCCAAACATGGACTGCTTTGCCAGATACAGAGTCACCACCTAAATATTTTATTTTGGGAGAATTTAGGAAACCCTGACTCGAGTTGCCTCGGCTCGGGAACTTGGGTACAATTAGGGAAGGTCACTTCGTGAGCACCCCCACTCAGCCGATCAAAGATCGGCCTCTACTAACCATGATATCAAGTTTTGAAAACATTATGTGCTCTTATTCCGGTATTAGCCTAGAATTACTATGTGATGCACACATCATACAAGTATAAACTAGATTGCTTAAGTTGGAACAAAGCATCACATATCCGTTTGTTTTGAAAATAGATTAAATTTTGCTACTCGCAAGTAGGCTAAAACACGGGTTTCGACGAATTATTCCAATTCAAGCAACCTAACCTTCACCCACAGGCATTCAGGTAGTTATATCACATAAGCACTTAGCCTCATGGTAAGCATGCTATCATGGCAGTCACTCACACACATGCAAGGATGCTAAAGCATAAACACCTACTGAGTACTTCATGTCAAAGAAAGAAGCTAATTAGAAATCATGCATGAATCCTAACTATACTGAGATGCCTAATGCAACACATACATGTATGCAACTAAGATAGGCTCAGCTATTCTAAGATGGCATATGAAATGCTACAAAAATCATGTATACAACTTGGAATTGAAATACGATGCAGTTAGTATGATAAGCCGAGCCCGGTGCATACAAAACAGATGAATGGATGCTAACTGAAACATGCCCTAATCTAACCATCATAAGCTGGTAAATAAAAGGGAGAAAGACGTGGGGTTGGAAGACATACATCTCATACACGCACACTTATTACAACGTTACCCTTCTCGGATGGTCCAAATGAATAATACAGAATCAAATTAACTAATTATTACACAATACTAGCTAATTAACAAATTAACTAAACTAACATGTAAACTAAATGAAAGTGGGCTGCCTTGGCTCTGTTTTGAATGAAAATGGATGCATGCATGCTCTAGTCGCCTTGCCGAGAAATCCATCGCGTTGCCCCGACTCGCCTTTGTTTGCAATTGATTTCAAAAACTTGCACAAAGCTCCAGAAGGCTAAAACTACACCCTGGGAACCCATGGGAAGGTTGCCGACCAGCTCAGGACCTTGGAGACCACCTACCGACCACCTTTTGTGGAAGAAAGCCAAAAGGGTGGTCGGCCTGCCAGAAAGGCTAGTCGGCCGACCAGTTTCTGCCCCTAGTTTCTAGTTCTTCTGCAACAAAGGCAAGAGAGAGAGAAGGCAAGGTATTTTCAACATATGTGTGCATGACCACTCTCCCCGTCATTTCATAGGCTCTAGGGAGTGTAGTTCTCGATCATCGTGCCATCAATCACGCATCCCGATGCATGATGGCCAATGAGTCGAATTGCATGACTCAATGTGAAATGAATGCACATGTAAACACCTAAAGCCAACGACTCTATAATGGATAGTCAAGAGTGTCGGTGACCAAGAATCGAGGCACGTTTCGTCACTTTGAGTACGAAACATCCCTCGTTTCCCGTGTTTGGACTAAACCCTACTCCAAACACAATGCAACAAACAATGTATGGACAAATGCAACTATAGCATGCGATCTAAATGCAATGCAACTAAGTGATGCGAAGATGCACGGAATGTCATGCAAGCATGCAAATGGCATACACAATGCTATGAACTAACCAATGGCATACTCAATGCACATGGATTATATGGCATGCATACACGATGCACTAACATACGCAATGTTATGAACGAGGCATACGCAATGCAATGATCAAACATGCGATAACATGGACTGTAGGGCATACACAATGCAAGATGGACTTAAACCAAGATGGATGGGCCTCGGCCACACCCAAATCAGTGGCCAAACATGATGAAAACAAGGCCCCTAGAACACACAAGCATACACAATGCGGGGGCTCCAAGCCTAAGGCACAAAAACACAACTTTGCACATGCATTGAAAGGACTAAACATGGAGTACAATGGCATATATTCCAGCTCTAAAATGGCATATAACATGACTTGGCGTGCTCATGCAATGGCCCATAAATGAGGTATTTAAGCACAACTCTCAAACATATCTAAGGAGTGGAAAACATGGGAACATGACAACCTTATATGCTTTGAAATGTCATACAAAATGATGCTAAGACATGGAAACACCTCAACTTAAGCATGCAAGAGGGTTCAAAACTCAAGGCTAGGCAAGGGTATTGCACTACAACCATGCATAGCAAGCATCATTCGACCATGAGGCATAATAGCATGCAATACAAGCTAGTGAAGAGGGTTTACACTACAAGTATATGAAGCATTCAAGAGGTTACTAAACCAACAAAATTCAGAGGTATGACATGCCAAATAAAGCCTAAAAACTCATTGAAACATGGTCAATGCATGCAAGAATGACATGCTCCTTTGATAGGCTATGAAGAGGGTTATTCTACACATGCAAGATGGACACCCAATATGGAAAAGCAAGCTCTGGACAGAGCCTATGCAGGCCCTAAAAGTCACAGAAAAGGGCTTGAAACAAGCCTTGGAAGCACGCAAACATAGCTACCTTGTAAGGCCAAAAATGCTAGAAAACAAAACAAGGGGAGAGAGGGGCACCCCTCTCTCATTTTGGCACTCAAAACAGCATGCTAGCCACTGAAAATCCATTCGATTTTAGTGGCTAGAAGGCCAAACAAAGGTCAATGCAAAGGCCCTAATCCGTGGTTCAAAATAAGGTGAAATGAAGCATGCAAGGGGGTAAATGACCCCCAACAGGAAAATGATCTTAAACAAACATGTTAAGGACCTCAAAATAAGATTTTTTTCAGTTTATGACAAAGCTCAAATATGCTTGCAAATAAGGCTAAGAAATGGATCCAAATAAAGCTCAAAAGAGGGAATAAGTGTGTTACCCTTGTAGCTCAGCAAAACAGCAGCTTTGAGACCAAAAATCCAGACCTTCAACCTTTGAAAATGACCTCCAAGGACCTCAAAGCAATGGTGGAGGTGTTAGGTTAGGAGGTGGTGTGCAAAGGTGCAAGAACCAAGCACTTTCTAAGCCTAAGTGTAGAGATATAGAGAGGGAGATATACTTTTCCTTCAACAAATTTCTGAACCTTTACCAATGAGGGAGAGGGTCTCTCTTATCGCCAAAGGGGTCCAAAGCTTCTCAAACAAGCTAAAAAACAAGCTTGAAGATCCTCCATACACGTGTATGGAGGATCCATTCTGTGCCTTCCAACTGACACAATTGGCAACAACTCACAGAGACAGAACTAAAGGAGGCAGTCCGACCAGTTCAGGTGGTCGGCTGACCACTCCCCCTGGTCGGCTGACCAATTCAAAAGGTTCAAGTGAGTGAATGGTGGTCGGCCATCCCAATTGGTGGTCTCCCAATTGAATGCAAGCTAGTGGTGTGGTGGGTGACCAGCAATTATGGCCCAAAAGTAAGGGAGACCAGTTACCTATCAAGGAAACTGGTCGGTGGGGGAAAAGTGGTCTCCAAGGAGAAAAGGTGGTCTCCCACCCTTGTACCACCTTCCAAACAATGAAAACAAGGTCCATGCCAAAAATGAACCAAGACGGATGCAAAACGAGGGTTCAGGGGTCAAAACGCGCAGCTAGGTGCCCCGAAAACAGGCTGTTAAGCATCGAAAGTGGAGGAAGCAAGGTGTGTGCCAAAAACTGTGCCAAACGGAGAAAGTTAAGCGATCCCGAACCGAGGCGTACGACCGACGGCTCCGAAAACTGAAAACTGGTCTCCAAATGGGAAAAGTGGCCTACGACCATGAAAAGTAGCCTACGGCCACTAAAAGATGGTCTACGAGACCTCTCCCTCCCTTCAGGAAGAGAAAATAAGACTTGGTTTGCAAACCGAGGTAAAGCACAAAAGGGTCCCGATTTCTGGGGTAAGGCTCTCAGCTGAAACTCCGAAATCTCGAAACGAGCACAACATACGCAATCATCGAGTGCTCAATCGGTGACGTCGGAGTCTTAAGGTCAGTCAAAAATGGGGTGTCTACACCAATGCACCGGTAGCATTTATGGATTTAATGAACCGTGTCTTTAAGCCATACCTGGACGAATTTGTTGTGGTATTTATCGACGACATTCTGATTTATTCGAAGAATGCTGAAGCCCACGAAAACCATCTCTGCTTAATTCTTCAGACACTCCGAGATAAGAAATTGTATGCCAAACTGAGGAAATGTGAATTCTGGCGACATGAGGTAGCGTTCTTGGGTAATGTGATAACGAAGGAAGGTGTATCGGTTGATCCACACAAGATTGATTCAATTATAAATTGGCCGACTCCTACCAATGTAACTGAAGTGCGTAATTTCTTGGGATTAGCAGGGTACTACC